TTGGAAATACGTTGTGCAGGAGCCATGAATTAGATAGTGGGCTCTTCTAGCCAGACCCTCTCCCTCCCACCAAACAACCTTTCCCGGCATGGGTCTGCTAAGAGGTGAGAGGGGACACTGATGGGATTCACCTGTGGGTCACATGGACAGGATTCCCTGGAGTGCCATCCTGCTGGGTATAAAGTGAGCCCTCTGAGAGGCAGGAGGGGGATCCCATGACCAGCGAGAGCCAGGAGTGGGGCGCATCCTCTGGGCCCGAGATCCCTGCACGGGGGACCTCCTGGATCCAGGTAACAGCTACACCACCAGAGGAGCAGCCGCTGAACCAGGAGCCAGAGCGCGGGGCAGAGTGAGGGGCTCCCAGGCCACGGAGCAAGCGAGCTGGGTTTGCCGGGCATGTGGAGCTGGAGATGGATGTCGTGCGGTTGAGACTCACAGCAGAGTGCACTTGTTCTTGTGGCTACTCGTCACCCAGTCAGCTCCAACCCACGGCGACGCCGTGCCCAGGAGAAAGGTGGATTCGATCAGTGGTGACAACTGCGGGCTCAAGCACGAGAATGGCTGTGAGGAGGACACAGGATGGGGTGGAGTGTGGGTCGTTTCTCCCTTCCCTGTTGAACCCCTGTTGCCATGGGTTAGAGCGAACACCACAAAGCTCTCCATGCAGGAGAGACCGTGTGCTGTGACAGAGAAGCGGGTGGCCCTAGGGCACGGAGCTGAGCACCCCACTTCCAGGGGAGAGGTCGGGGGTTCAAACCCACTTGTCGGTGCCTCAGAACAAAGCCCTGGCGACCAAATGTTGAAAGAAGGGGGAAAAAATGAGTCATGGAAAACATGAGTGGTGGATCACATTTCCACGGCGACATGCAAGAGTGTGGAGCCCCCTGGGTACCCCAGACCTGAACTCACTGCCATGCAGCTGTTCCTGTGATTCTAAGAGCCTGTTAGTCTTCTAGGAGCACACAGCCTCCTCTTTCTCCCTTAGACCAGCAGGTGGGTTAGAACCGCTGACCTTGAGGTAAACAGCCCATGTAACTCCCTGTGCCACCAAGCGCACTGCCATCAAGCCAATACGGGCTCCTGCAGGACAGGGCAGGACTGCTCCTGTGGGTCTGTGAGGCTCCCATGAGAGGCCTCTCCTGGGCTTCAGAACAGCCCCCGGACAAGGA